CTTCATCGTATTATCACGAACGCAATGTCGGGTAATTCATTTGCAGGGTTGCACGCGAGCGCGCTGACATTTTTCTATCATATCGGAAACATAAAACATCCGCATGACAGATCAGCGTGACGCATCCTCGTGACAAGTGTCATAGTTTTGACGGGAATATTGCTACTGACGCGCTTTGCTTACATGTGTAATGCGTGACCGTTGCAAATCACACTGGCTGCTCGCGCTCGGACGCGTCGAAAAATTGCAATCGTGACAAGAACGTATCACGCTTTAAAATACACGCCGGAGACATTTCTGATGGAAAAACAAGGTAAATAATGGATATAAAAGATATTGCATAATTCTTTGTTTCAGCTAAAATATTTGAAACAAACCCACTTTTTATAATTAAGTCTTGTCATGCGCGAATAATGAGAATATTTAAAAAATATTCTCGTTGCACACGTGTGTTCATTGAGCTCTTGCGTCTAATCTCTGGTGTTCTCCGACAAGATTCACTTCGAGAGCGTACGAATCATTTCCCTGACCATCGGTCGCCATCTTCACCTTCCTATCCCTGGAGAAATTTCCATGAAATATTGCGGCCAGTCACGTAACATGAATTGCGACCGTAGAATTTCCGATTCACTTGCCTTATGCTCGTGCATTTGCCCCTGAGTTTCCACTTACATGCATCCGCTCTATCTGAAAGATCGTGATTGAAAAATTTTAGAAAATCTGAAAAATAAGAAGAGAGGGACTTTTCCAAGCAACAATAAAATACAACATTTAATTATATAAATCTCGCCGTGCATCGTACAAAATCTAATCATAGAAATACTTTCATTGAATGGGCCTTAATCTCGCGCGAACGCAATGCATAATTTTACAAGGGAGACATATGGCAGAAATTTTGCAAATTTCCGCTTCTTCCGTGTCATATAAATTCTCGACGCGTTAAAATGCATGCCGCCGTTCAGGCGGAACGACGTCTTTGGAAGAACATCTCGAAGTAATTTTTCTTTCTAGCAGCGACTCCCGGCGAAATGGCTCCGACGAAGCTTGGGTGCGGGAAGATCGAGAGTCTCCGATTGTTTTTTTAGAATTTTTTTCGAGTTCCACCCGCGGTGGCAGCTCGTGCGCCGCCGCGGTGCAATTTCAAACGTTACAATGTCCCCGGGGGAGCGGTGCTACAAAGTAATTTTTCCCTCGCTTCTCTCCTTCGCTTGCGCGCAGGATATTCCCGGTGAAACCTAAAAGTACTGCGAAACCCAGTTTGCCTCGCATGACCTCTTTTGAAGCTCTGCTATACACAGTTCAAGCACTTGAATAACGAATATAACGATGTTCTCCGTCCAGATTGCGCCAACCGTCCAATTTAACCCTTGGTGGTCTTTCTCATTCAATGGGGCAGATAAAATCAATTAGCCATTCATACAAAAAAACAAAATAATGTAATTATGTGTGACAGTTTTATATATTCACTTTTAGCAAATATTTTATATTGTCATGTAAATATTGTATATGTGTCACTTTTAGTGAATATTGTATATGTGTCACTTTTAATTATATAAATAAATTATATAAATATAAGAATATAAAATATTCACTGGAATTCGAAGATTAATAGAGTTAAAATCTTTTTCACATCTGCTCGCTATTGCTGCTAAGAAGACTGTTAAAATTCAGATCATGCCTTAAATCGGCTATAGCACTTTTTTTACGCTCAAACGATGCCGATCGTCCAAATTGATCGCGTTAATTATGAAACGAGCAATATTGCGCGGCCGCATACGAGCGTGGAATATCGGATTGCGCCAACCGCCCAATTTAACCCTTGGCAACCTTTCTCATTCGATGGGGCAGATAAAATCAAATTATCCATTCATACAGGAAGAACAAAATAATATAACTATATGTGTGATACAGCGATGCATGCGTATACAATCTCCTGTATTAATTTTCATCGTCAAAGTGCTAATCATACGGAAATAAGTAATAATTGTGATAAGTAATGATTCTTTAGCACGCCGATTACAAAAGAAACAAATACATTTATGACAGGTCTGAAATAACAGAATAAGATTATTTTTTCTAATTAATTATATATTCTAGTGACTTATATAACAATAAGCACTAAGAAGCCGAGCGATCTAATAAATAATTTGAGAAATTGAATTTTTGAAAAACATCGGTGCACAACATGCCCATGGAACGCATTTAGTGGATGGTTTGCCACAACCGCGCTCTTTTTTAATACGGTCCTTTATTACAGTCGACATTTGGATGCAAGCCAGTTCGAGACTTTCTTTGCTGTTCCAGCCTCTTTTCCCAACTTCCCTTCAGCACTTCCGCTTTTATACTCGAGGATATTAACGAGGATAGACTATAAGCTCATGCAAAATGTATTTCCTACTTTTTTAATGAAAGTGCAGCTGCAGCAGGCGACGCTTAAAGTATTTTAAGCATAGCCATTTCTCTTGAATAGTTTTTAGCGATAAATGTATTGGTGAGCCGTATAGTTTAAAATTTATACTGTCAATCGTATACTTTTATTTCTTTAAACACACACACACACATACTGTTGTTGTAAAAGACATATATATTCTATTTCGAAGCAACTAAAATTAATATCGATTCGTTAATAGTGAAAGCTAAACGTGACACGTGCGACAACTGTAACGTTACTGTTCGATGATGCGACTGAATAGATTCGGTTCAATATCAGTCGTCTATAGGATCGAACGAGCGTCGTATAATCGTTCGAACCAGCGAGCGTAGGGTTTCAACAATATCGTTCATGTGGCATTAAATCACTTTCTATTCATTAATCATTGAACGGTGGGTTGCCTCATAGTAGATTTATATCTCATTTCGATATTTTGTCTGCTCCATTAAATTCACGTGGGACAAGAAAGTCTTTATCGATCATCACGTCATATTACTTTATACATATATATAGGCAATCAATTAATGCTTAAATAAAATTTTTATGTCAAACAAATATTCTTTTCAGTCATAAAAAATGCTTTTCTCATGTTAAGTCATATACTTTTTAAAATTTTTACCTCTTTAAAGGCTATATTATTTAGAAGATAATATGTATAAGATGATAATAAAAAGCATTTAAGCTTACTTCTTAGCAAAATTTTCAATAATTACTTTCAATAACCGTATTATTATTGTTTAATTACCATGAGAGAGCTCCATAAGCTGTGTACCGAATAACATGGTGGAATGCTATGAAAATACAGTGCGATGAGCGGCAAATTCCTTAATGATTATTGCCAACGAAAGTTATCGTCGCGCAAATATTTCCGTAAGACCGCCGGAAGTTCAAACAACATCGGAGCTCTCTCAGAACTGGCCGGGGCGGAAAACGACGGTATGGCTAGCCGAGTATGAACAGACCGCATTCCCGCGGTCAACGAGTAGCGCGGGTCGCCGTTTGGTCGTGCAGTGGATACAGTTAAACGACATTGCTCAGCACTCAAGTAATTCTCGTTCTTTTGTACACGGCTAGCGCCGAGCTGAGCTAATCCCTCTTGTACACGAATCTCTCGGCTCCTGCAGCGGACATTTTCCGGTGCGATTGAATCTCGCGCATGTATGTGTTTTCGACTCGATATATCCAATCCTCTGCCGCGCGAAATATAGAGATATAAACAGAGCTGAAAAAAAAACTTGTTATCTTACAAGTTAAAAATTAAAGAGTTCTTGTCGATAGATAGATTTTACTTAATCATCAAACGCTTGATAGAGCAAAAGTATAAACTTGCTTTCGACGTAAATAACGTGCGATGAATGACTTTCTTTCATAATTTATCATTATTGGACGAAAGACTATCAATCACTTTTCAGAGGATTTGCTTTGTCTGGTGAGTTTTTTTCTTTCCATGTACAGTCTCCATAAACAGAATAATGTATGGGACAAAGGGACATGGTTCATCTGTGCCCGGTTCTTTCATGTAATCCGTGTAACACACGCGAACGTATCACAGTTCGTCCTACAGATTACCCACAGCAAAGGTTAAATCTCGGCTATCGTATATGGTTTTCCTCCGTATTTACAAGCTGCCGAGCTGGCAAAGGAGAGAAGCTCGAAGAGTGAACAGCGAGAGCTTTGATACCTCGCTCGAGAAATAATTCACTGTTTCGTTCTCTGAATTGCAAATCTCGGCGACAGGCAAACATCCACCGGCATCGCTTGGATGAGCAGGGCTTAATAATTTATAATCCTTGTCAAAGCTGTGTGTCTCTTTCTCGAAAGTATCACTCGTTCTGAGATCTTCAGCTTCAAAGGTTACGAGGTGCGGAATAACGCGGAACGAACTCGGTGCACGACCGCAGATATCCTCCTCCCCGTGTTGTTTCCCTTTCGGTCTATCTTCATTACGCGAGGTAATCTCGCGGGAACAATACGTTACTCTCGAATATCGCACTAAATACATATATCAAGAAAAACTTTTATGGCACTCCATTAACCGGCTTTGTGCTATTATTAAAGTCATTTTTTCGCCAGACAATTTGTCGGATAAATTGTCCAGCAAAAGCCTCTTTGACAAAAACTCTGATAATAAAAGCTCTATATTTATCCACATTTGAGTAAAAATGGATTTTTACATGACGCTTTAAACAGTTGTTTAATAACTTTAAACCATATCTGATATTTTATTCCATAAATAAGTGATTTTTTTTAATATTAAGAACCTATTATAAAAACAAAAAAGTTACATCATTATTTTTTAGCTAGTCATTGCATATCTAATTCTATTCCAATTAGTGCAAGATTTACATACGTTTTGCTTGTTAAGGAAAAAAGCCTTTCTGTATTTTATACTGAATCTTCATTAAAAATCTACTAAAAAAATTATAGTTCGAGGCCCCAAAAAAGTTGCCGGAAGTTTCGAGAAAATTCCCGGGGCTTCGAACGATAAAAAAATGATCTATTTCTTTATCTTACAAACACAGAGCCAAAAGCCAGTAAAGATTAATCTGTTATTTATTGTATTACGCAGAGTGGCGGCCAGAGTGGTGTATGGACAGCAACCGTGATTATATTGTCGATCGGCACCTGGGTAGGCAGAGTCGGGCCACGTCCAGCAGATGGGGAGCTCGCTCATCTGACATCGCCACGTGAGCGATGGAACCGTTCGACAGGTTCTTTCCGAGGTGCCTTTGATCGACGGTCACAATGATCTACCGTGGAACATCCGGAAGTTTCTCCACAGTCAATTGGCGGACTTTGAATTCGATAAGGATCTGCGCCAAATCGCGCCTTGGAGCAAGAGCTCTTGGAGCCAGACGGACTTGGTCAGACTGCGGCAGGGCATGGTCGGTGGTCAGGTAATTGAAAAACATTGATATTGCAGCGGTTACCTATATATAAAAATAAACAGAAAAAACAATTTGGCTAAAATAAAATAACAACGGATTTTAAAATGCTCGAATTTTATTTTAATAAAGTAATAAAGTAAAGTTTTGAAGCTTTTTAAATAATAAATAATTTTAAAAACTGCATTATTATCTATTGCAACTCTAGTAATAAAAATTTAAATTAAAATAAAAAATATTATTGATTGATTATTATATTAGTTATCGAGTTTTTTTCACAAAATATAAAATCTTCGTATTATCGGACATTAACTTTGGCTTTGACACAATTTAAAATACGAGTTATATTACTATGCCATAAGCAATATAGGCTCGAATATCCCAGCGACGATACTAGAGACAGCTAGACGGGTTTCGGGTGTTGGCGATATTATGAGCGTGACGGATTGAATGCATCGATTATCATCGCATGCGAGCACTCAAGAGCTCGTTAGGTCTGAATGATGCGAGCATTAAGCGCGTGTCATGCTTGCACGCACACATATATTCTAAAAATGATAGTGATTTAAAAGGAAATATTTCTCGTTTGGGATTTAAAATAAAATAATATGACAATCTCGCTGCCTTCTTTTTACGTATTTCTGCTGGTGAGATTTACGTTCAAAATAATATTGTGTATAAAAAATATAGTACTTTCCTCTTAGTATTCCAAATAAAAAAAATTTTGTTGTAATAAAATAAAATGATTATTCGTGAGGACTTGTGCGACGGATAAAATTTCTAAACGCAGAAGAATTTTTTTTTAATTAGGGTTCAGCATTTTGCGATCATCTATTATAGGGTAATGAAATTTTCACAACTGTTACTTTTACTATAAAATATATCGCAATATTTTCTTTTTCAGTATGTGAATTTTATTAGCTTGTCAATGTAAATTGGAACGTATAGATTTGTTGAAAAATAAAATAAAAATTATTTAAATATACATGAACGTATGCATTCTACATATATATCTCTTTCGTACTGAATTTTTTGTTATTTGCCCTCAAATGTGCAAAAAAAATATGATTTCTCTCTAACTATTGACGCAACCTTCTTCGATAATTATAAAAATATTTTTTCTGTTTTTGTTAGTTTTGGGCCGCTTATGTTCCGTGCGAGTCTCAGCATCTCAACGCGGTTCAGCTGACTCTAGAGCAGGTAGACCTCATTAAGAGGCTCATAGAAAAATATTCCCAGCATATGCAGTTCGCTGCATCATCAAGGGGTAAGTGCAGTTCGTCGTAATGAGAGACGTATAATGTCGCTGGACAAAGATTCTCCAAAATCATTTGGCGAGATCGAAAAGCGACAATTTTACGCAACCATGTTTCTGACTTCTAGAGATTTTGGAGGCCCATGGGAGAGGCAGAATAGCTTCTTTAATTGGAGTGGAGGGTGGACATAGTCTAGGAAGTAGTTTAGCCGTTTTAAGAACGCTTTACCAGTTGGGTGTACGGTATCTCACATTGACGCACACCTGCAACACACCATGGGCGCAAAGTTCGTCAGTGGCGGACGACGATGAAGCTGGTAAATTAAACGAAAGTTTCAAGTGAATTTTTTTTCAGAGTGAGCAAAGCTGAAATTTGCCGATTTAATTATAAACATTTATAATATTAATTTTGTAAACAACAACGCGTTCAATAAAAACTTCAAATATCTTTACCTTTATGTTTCCTTTTAATTATCGTTTTTGTAATAAATCACGGAATATATATATAAAGATTTTTTACATAAAATTGATATCTATCTTTACACTTTGCTCTATAAAATGGTAATATGGTAATAATTATGAAAGACCGAGAATAAACAATGTACAATAGCTATACTGCTTAACTAATTTAAGAGATTTACCTCGCGACCTTTTTAATGTAAATCTTCACAGAAGAGTGTAAGAAATAAAATAACATCGATATATCTTCCAGGCGGTGGCTTGACAGAATTCGGCAAGGCGGTAGTTCAAGAAATGAATAGACTCGGAATGCTGATAGACCTCAGCCACACTGCGAGGGCAACCATGAGGGATGCTCTAAGGGTCAGTAAAGCGCCGCTCATTTTTTCACACTCCTCAGCATACGCCATTTGTAATTCCTCCAGAAATGTGCCCGACGATATTCTCAAGCAACTGGTAAGTAAAATTATATAATCAGCAAAACTAATTTAATTTTGTTAATACAGAATTTTTCTATTGTACATATAATTCAAGCAAGATCTCCGATATAATTAAAAAAACAATTGATATTAAAATAGAAAAAAATAAATAGCACAAGTATATTTCAAAAAACTTTCCATACGTATATTATTAAAATTAAAAAAAAAAAAGATTCTTTTAATTGCAATAAGTTTCAAAAAATTTGAATAAAAGACATAAAATGAAATAAATATTATGGTAACATTATGAAATATTTTATTTATATTAAATATTTTGCAGTATAATAACTACAGCACCGATAATTATATAAGAATAATTAATGCAGTAATCAATTTGCTTGCGGCAAAATTTGCGCTCTGCAGTCGCAAAAATAAACGATTGGCGGTACAAAAAAGCAACACGACGTGACGAAGATAAAATCCTTTCCGCTTCCTCTATCTTTGTGGATCTTTTTTTTTTACTGGCAGACAATTATCTCGGGACGGTGGCTAGAGTTCTAATAGCAGCACGAAACATTTGCCGGCGGCAATTCTTTTCTATTGTTGAGTTTCGTGCTCCATTAAGAAGCACCCGGTTCGCTTCGGCTCGTTAAGAGGCGAATTATCAAGGTCGAAAATTAACGACACCGAGACTCACCGTGAATGCGGTACCAACGATAACGAGGTCTACCTTCTGGCGCTCGTCGATTCTATCGATCCCTCTGTCGCCTCTGGGGCTGTACATTTCGTTTTTTTGAAGCAAAGGCACGCGGTCGGAATATAGTTTTCCCTGTGCACCGGCGTAAAATTACGTGTTACACCTTTCATTGAGCCGGCTTGAAATTCCCAGCGTGGCGGTGCGAAGCACGTTCAAATCACAGAACTACGCGCGGAATTACGCGTTCTATTCTATATCATTACGTGCTTGCTTCCAGGCTGATAACGGCGGACTGGTGATGGTCACGTTTTACAATTATTTCGTGAAATGCGGACCTCAAGCTAGCGTCTCGGACGTGGCTGAGCATATATACTATATTAGGAACCTAATTGGCGTGGACCATATTGGAGTAGGCGGGGATTTCGACGGCATCAACAAGTACGTCGGAAATTAAATACATCGACTTGGAATTAATTTATCATAACTTTTATCAAAGTGTTCTTATATCAAAAACCTTAATCCTTAAATATCTTGCATGCAATAATGCTTCAGCAATAGTTTACGGTAGGATTTACTCATCTAACTACAATCACAAACTTTCAAAGGACCTTTGACGAAACTTCAACTTGTTACTTACGGTTTAATCTTTAGTAAACTATTCTGATATTTTCTTTAGTAAACTAAAAGTACAATTTACAGACTATTGAAATAATATTTTCAACTATGTACACATTGAAGATATCTTTTTCTTCATAGAACTCCGCGCGGTCTCGAAGACGTATCGAAGTACCCCGAACTATTCGCCGAACTTCTCCGGAGTGGCAAGTGGAATGTGCACGACCTAAAGAAAGTCGCCGGCTTGAATTTACTGCGAGTCCTCACACAGGTTAGAGTCGATTAAGGTCTAAGGTGCAGTTGTACATACATGCCGTGGCGTTCTGACGAGCTTTAATAACGCCATAACTCTGCCGTGCATGTTACTAGATCACTACACCACACTACGCCCGCGCAACTATATAACTTTTCTCGCTCATAATCATAAATTGTCTCCCTTAAATATTTCACGAGCGTAGGAGGTGATAATAGAAAATTTCCATCATGCGGTGATCGCTATCTTGCAGCATGAGCTTATAATAATTTTTAATAAGCATAAAAAGTAGCTCGGAAAATATCACAAGACTCTTTTTCCGAACTCGTAAACAACGATTTTTATAAAGTACAATATTATAATTTTAACATTGTTATGATAATTAATCCTCATACTATTACACCAGGTAGAGCGTGTGAGGGACGACATGAGAACTGCGGGAATTACGCCGTCCGAGGAATACCTTCCAGATTCGCCGGACGCGAAGGGCAACTGCGCTCTGGATATTAACTCTGTGCAAAGGGTCACGGAAGTCTGATCGATCGACTATACGCACTGCCCGACGACATGCGAATTAATCTTATGCCTGCACAACCGTTCCACGCAGATGGGCATGGCCGTGAGATAACGGGACACGCCGAGCGCCGGCTCAAGGCAAAAATTCAATAATCTCGATTGCTGCGACCTTTACGCTCGCAAAAGTTCTTCGAACCTCGTGCGAAAGCTCAATTAAACGTCGACATTTGC